CCCCCTAGGTCTTAAAGACATATGTCTCCAATGCTGGCTATATCCCTGAACACACAGATATCTATGGGATTAAAGGCATGTGCCACCACTGCCACACTCTTGCTATGGCTCCAATAGCTCTGACCCCCGGACAACTTTATTTATTAACATACAATCAAAATAATATTTCAGTACAATTAGATTACCACCACAATGGAGGGGCAATATCTGTTCCTTTAAGGATTAGAAAAAAAATGGAGGAAAGGAACTTATCTGTATTTACCTATTTTACCAGAACGTGGTCTTCTCCTGCCATTGGGATGTGACTGGGACCACATTACTGCTTATTCTCTGGGCTTAGACTTGAACAAAGCAGCTCTGACATTGTTCTTCTTGTATCCGAGGTCTTTGAACCCAACATAGAATACATCATGGACAGGTGTATTGTTTTATTAGGCTTCAGCTGTGTGTGTGTGTGTGTGTGTAAATATATATGTTTGTGTATGTATGTATATATACATATATATGCTAAATATTAAATAAATAATAGGTATATAGATATGCAAGCTATTGTATGAATACTAAATAAATAAACCAAAATAAATGGAAAAACTACTTTGGATGAGAATTTGACAGTTTCCTGATGGCTCACCATAATATTCAGTCATTTTATATCTAAGTATTTACCCAAGAAACACAAAATTTTTCTTCGTAACTAGGATAGATATTCATGATATTGTAAGTTCTAATAGCCAAAAATGGAAAACTCCCTTAATATCTGCCAGTAAGTGAATGGATTAGAAAATTATAATGTATACACATAAAGAAATACATGTAGGGCTAAAAATGAGTGAACTATTAATAAAAGATCATGAACCATTCTGAATGTAATTCCATAGAGTGAAATAAATGTAATAAAAGACAGGCATACTGTACAACTCCATTTATAGAAAAAATTTTGAACTACCAATAACCATAGTAACAGATGTAACCTGGGATTGTCTGAAGGAGATGATCAGGCATGAGTGGTTCCGTAGGTGAAATGAAATCTTTTACAGATGATCAATACATTTATTTCTGGACAGTGGAAGTAGTTTGTAATTGTGTATACATGTCGCAACAAGTTGTAAACTTCAGATTTAATAATATCTGGGCTGGTCATCTTTTTCATTGTTAAGATACACGAGAAAAATCACATTAAAGGAAAAAAAATATTTTTATCTCACACTATCAGAAATCTTCATCAACCATTGGATCTACTGGTCTTAGGCTATGGTGGTTCAGAAAGTCATGGGGAGAGGATCATGGACTAGAATAAAGCTGTTCACCTCTACACATCCAGGAAGCAGAAAGAGAGGGGGAGAGAAGGGCTGTATAAAAGTTATACCTGCCAAGGGTACACTACCAGTGAACATTTTCTTTCTTCAACTAAGCCCCCTTTTCTAATAGCTGGCCCATTCAGTATTAAGACATTCATAGGATCTTGTTTGGAGGTTCTAGTAGGGGAGCACAGCTACTTGTATACCTTTGACTGAAGCCCAGTCCTCCTCTATTTATGGAACATCCCTTCTTTGGCCCAGTGCATAGCTTCAGGTGGGAATAACCCACTTGATCTTTCCTTTGAGGAGATTTTAGTTCACAGATTCTCCCCAAGAATAATAGAATCAATAAATCAGGTACCGGCAGAAAATATTTTATCTAACTATTGTTACCAAATTCATGGTTGATCTAAAAATAATTTTATAATCAGTTACACAAGTATAAAGTATTAATGTGTCTAGATAAATCTGTCAATCTTAATATATTACATGGACTAAAGTAAATAGCCCTTAGTCTTAGGATTTGAGCAAAGGTGATATGAATTGGACAGTTTAGGTTGTTGTTTTTAAACCACTCAACAAGAAAATATAAGCAGCTTACTTTCTCAAGTATATGCTGGAGGAGCTGATTTTCATGATACCTGGTATGCTTGCAGTTCATGTTCACTCTATCCAAACACAAATCACAAATGCTCTTGTCTGAAAACCTATGTTTTGTGTCATGAGCTATTGCAGGCCAAGACACAAATGCAGCATACAGCAATTGATAATTCAGATACCAATCTACTAGGTGAATAATTCTTTAATGGGATAACCTAGTGAAGCAAGGCTTATGGACTACTGACTCTGAAAACTTTTGCTTCAGTCTGTAATTTCACATGTGCAAAAGCAGCTATGGTATCTCCCCACTAGCATGTATTTTCATGTAATGTGTATATGTAATCTCATGATTGCATCTCAATCTTATGGGCGCATATACTTATAGATGGTCAAGAAGATGACTTCTCATTAAGCTGTATATTTTTGATGTATAGAAATAGACTAGAATATGTGTCATATCTAGATCTACTATTCCTCGTGGACTGTAAGACTTAGAAGCCTATTATCTATCATTAGCTAAGCTGACAAGGCATATTGGCTTGTCTGTAGATAGATTGCTAGTTGGACTTTCACAGATTATACACAAGGATGGAATTACAAAATTTCTGGGTTATTGAATCAAAGTCCTTCAGAGACAATAGTGACCTGAATTGCTTGCCAACTTCCCCTGCCAGGTCCAATTGATAACGGGACCAGCAGCTTTCTCTAGTATACTTTTAGCAATTAACACTCTGCACAAACTTCTAATCTCAGTTTATGATATAAAATTCAAGTTCTGACTAACTCACTGTTTATTATTTAGGTCCCAAATAATAACTAACCAATTAACCAAGTTCAGAGAAAAATAGTTTTATGTCAAGCTACCTGAAGATTCCACTGCCCAGGGAATGTGCCAAGTATCATGTGCCCACCTATGTGCTGCTGTGGTAGATATTTTTGCTCCTTATCATTTTTCAAGACATGTGCAATGACCTTGAGAGATAGCCTTGTAACTTTTCTCATTATCGCAAGAGTCTCCTGGTGGAAATGTGTATATAGCGATGTAGGAAGAAGAGCTAGGGAATCAGAGCTGAGAAAAATCAGAACTAGAGTAAAAAAAATTGACCCACAGAACATGTATGACTCTTTTTTCCTCAGATAGATAGAAACTTATTTATAAAGACCCACAGATAAAAAAAAAGTTTGGTGCTCTAGAAATACCCCTGAGATAAGAAAGTCCTAAATTAGATTTTTCTATGCTGTGGTTTATTCTATGTACCCTGTGTGTAGCCTTGGAACTCGGCTCCATGGCATACAATAGTTTTATATTGGTAAAATTGGTGACTAATGGAAAGATAGGGAAGTTTTGTTTGGTTTTTTTTTTTTCACTTTTTTTTTTTTTTTTTTTTGGTTTTTCGAGACAGGGTTTCTCTGTGTAGCTTTGCGCCTTTCCTGGAACTCGCTTTGGAGACCAGGCTGGCCTCGAACTCACAGAGATTCGCCTGCCTCTGCCTCCCGAGTGCTGGGATTAAAGGCGTGCGCCACCACCGCCCGGCTTTTTTTTTCACTTTTATCTTGAGAATTCTTAACTTTTCATGAAAGTCATGCTGCACTCCAGATGCCTCAGGTAAGTTCAGATATGCAGACCAGGAATTGAAGTCTTTGTTCTTATTCGATACATGGCATCCTGTTAACAAAATTGCTATGCACTAATACTATACTGGATAAACGTTTATTCTAAATGAGAACACCAATGGCAAAATTTAAGTAGAAAACTTAAAACAAGGCCTCCAAAGTCTTTGGTATTTCTCCAATCAAAATCGAAACAACAAAAAATACTAAACTATGGTGTAGGCATAAAACTCTCGGGAATTACATAGGGCAATCAGATGATCATGGCCAGTTTGAACTACAGAGCAAGTTCAAGACCAGCCTAGGTAACTTACTGAGCTCCTGTGTCAAAGACTGGGGGTATAGTTCAGTAATAGAGTGCTTGCTTAATATGTGCAAGGTCGTATGGTCTATTTCTATTAACTCTGAAAAACAAAACACAAGATTAGCAGTGGGCTAGAGGAGGGGTATCAGCAGATGAGAACCATAATAACAACGAGAATGGAGAGCTATATATATATAGGACTATTGTTAATACTTTAATTGGTACATTTCCTCATGAGTAATTAATTATTTCAGTTTGCTGAATATTCTTTGTACATGTTTCTATATGTAGCCTAACTTTATTAACACCGTAGTAATACAGTGGACAATACCTGTAAAATTATTTTTATTTCTATTCATAACTTTTAATTTACTCATTTATTGTGTGTTGCGCATTCATATGTGTACATACCAAGGTTCCTATGGTAACCAGGGAAATTGCTTGGGTAGTCAGATCTCTTGGATGGAATGCAGGTCATCAGACTTGGCAAGTCCTCCTAACCAATGACCCAATTTTTCCTATGCTATTTCTATAATTTCTCCGTCTTCCTATATTCTCTATATCTTACTCACTGCCCCTTACTTTAAAAATAATTTTGCTAATGATATAATTCTTCTACCTCTTTCTAAAACCCCTCATATAGAGTTGAAATGAGGTATATTTGGTGTATTAGTGAGACAAAATTTTGGCTTGGAAAAGGCATCATTTGCTCTTTACTTTGGATAATTTGTATCAACCACCTGTTCTCCCTTTGTGTTTAACTAGATAAAAAGGATTTTGTTTAGACTTGTGGAAAAGGCTACTTTGCTATAGTTACATAGCAACTGTGCAATGTGGAAGAAGTTGAAGGAAGAATGGAGGATGGCAATTGGGCAGGCACCCAAAGTAGTTTGACCCTTAGCTCTTAAACTAACTCATTGAAAACTATTCAGCACACTGTATTCATATTTTATGCATATATGTGTGTGTGTGACAGTAATAATAAAAAAATTCCATTACAATTTGAGAGGGTAAAATAGGAACTTGGGATGATTTTAAGGGAGGACAGGGAAAGGGGAAAGTAAATGTAATTATATTTTAATTAAATATCCTTTTTAATAAAAAATGCTATTCAGCTTGTTTACAATGGATGATAAGTTTTAACATACCCTTTGATTATTTCCTGTTGATTTTGGTGTGTCTTGCAGCTGCTGAAGGGATGGTGTGCAATCACCTGTGTTCAAATGATGGCTGTTGGGGACCTGGGCCAGACCAGTGCCTATCATGCCGGCGCTTCAGCAGGGGGAAAATCTGCATAGAGTCTTGTAACCTCTATGATGGGTAAGAGACCACAATGCCACCTTAAACTCATGAGCTATGAGCTACTGATGAAAGCAAAAATCTGAGCTTTAGAAAAAGGGTAAGAATTTAGAAGGAGTTTATCAAGATTTTTTTTCAGGAGCACCTGTAATCAAGAGAAGAGATACAAAGTTGTGTTAAAGAAAACTAATTTTCCCTTGAAATAAGAACTCTGGTACTTCCTTCCACTTTTCACCTAGCGTGATGGTAGAGCTCCTGATTTTTCTCCACCCAGGTTGAGTGGCCTTATTTCCACATGAGGAACAGCATATGTCTCTATGTCTTTGACTACTGGTGAGGGCTGTAGAAAAACTACATCTATGATTTACATTGAAGAGGATTTGAAATGTGCTCTGCCACTTCCTAAAAAGCACTGCTTTCACCAGTACTTTTAATTTCCTGTGGTTCTGCAACCATCACATTGCCTGCAAGAAAACCTAGTATCCATCCTCTACTGTGGCATTTCATGCCCCTAAAAACACTCTATCATAGCACAATTTTATGCATCATAATTGCCCTTCATTAGTGTGGTAATACATTTCTCAGGGCTGTTCCTAAGTCAGTTTTTTCTCGTATAGCTCAATGAAAGTACTTTTGGCAGCTTTGGAAACTACAGTTTTGAAGGTCTTTGTTTCATTTCTTATGTTCTTCATGAATTTCCTCATTTTGACAACTAATTTCATGATAGCTGATGCCACTAGTGTTATACTTCATGTTTGTACTATAAAAACATATATATATATATATATATATATATATATATATATATATATATATATCTTCTTAAAAATGACACAGGAAATTTTTCTCTATAAAATGAGGTAACAGATGAAAACCTAAGTTTACATTAAAAGTAACTTAAAATAAGAATTTAATAATAGGAAATAGTTTAGCTTAGAACTTTGTAAGATATAACCAGCTTGTAACTTTGGTAATCAATAGATCCTGCCCCATGGGATTGTATTCAGGCCTCTTCATATTGCTATGGAAGGACAGTCCTCTAAATAAAGTACCTCAAATCAAAATACACACCTGTCTAGCAAATGATGTCATTAAAGTGAATTTTACCAGAATTTAGTTCACTAAGCTCAAGTTAGCTGCAGAAAGACATTATTATACAGGCATGTATTTCTTAGGAGATGGGGTATCGAGAAATCATTTTCTCTATCAGCAGCACATGATGGACAATGAGGACAGATCTATTATAGTATCAGCTAAAATCATGGATTGACTGAATAATCAAGTGAGGAGTAGAGTACAGGCAGTCTGATTCTTTCCAGAATGTTATTTTTCTTAAGTATTCTAGTATTACTATTGTCTGAAATATAAAACATAGAAATACATAGCTATATGTTCAATTCTGTGTTGCATTTCTACAGACTAATGGATGCAAAACAAAAACAAACATCAACAACAACAAAAACTGTGGCTTCTTGAAACCCAATCAGCTAGACTTTTTTATTTTTATTTTCAGATTTAACAACCTCTAGCTTTACAGCATTAAATAAAATATGTCAAAGAAATTTAAATTATTAAAGTGTTTTTCATTACAGTAAACCCCATGAAATATAATTGTTTTAGAAGCATACTAAAGTTTGTTTTCAGTTCTTGTCTGCTCCGTGAGGATTTCTCAAACATTCCCCCATCTGTAGTGTCCTCTGATTTCTCTTGTCTTACCTACGTAGCTGGTTATGGTTGCCTTTGAGAAAAATGAATCTGCCTTTAAGCTTTATACTGATGTTTTTTTCTTTTCTTGTTTCTGTCTCCCACCTACTCTTCCAACCTTATTCCCCTTCCTCCCATCCCTTCTTTTGTCTTTACTTCCTCCCTCTCTCCAAGTCTTCCTCCATTTCTTCTTTCTCTGAGGACTTGGTATGTTGCCCAAGCTTGTTTCAACTTCTAGTCTCACCTGATTTTCTTGCCTCAATTCTCCAGTAGTGGGGCCTAGGAGACACATGGCACCTCATTGGCTAAAGTTGATTTTTATATGAAAAATGGGAATATTATGGTGCCAAATTTATGATTATGTGAAATGAAAGGTGCTTAATAAAGTCTTGTTAAAGTACTTGCTATGCATATCATTATCATGATTTCCCATTTACTAGTTAATCTGAGTTTATTAAATGGTTGAGTAAAATATTTTATCTTAAAAACTGATTAAACCTGTCAAATAAAAATACCTGTATAAAAATTAGAAGTCTGTTTACAAATACAGGATTTTTGCATGCCTGTGCAAAAAAAAGAAAGAAAGAAAGTCAAACAATTCAGTGTAATTTGTATCCAAATTCAAGTGAGAAAGTAATTACAGTGAACAATCAAAATGGGAGAGATGGTAGTTATAATGGAACCTTGAAACCCCAAAGCTTTTCCTAACTAGCATACATTCTAAGTCCTTGAGATCAACACAAAGCCATCAGTGTGCCAGTCAATGATCTTTGATGGAAATTACATATTTAAAAATCATACCTGAATAAAACATGGTTTCTCCTTTTATAGAGGATACTTAGTAAACTAAATGGCAAGTGTTTAATTCTCCAATAATACTATTGGTATAAGATGTAGATTTTAGAGACTCGGTTTTATAGCATTCACTCCAGGTCCAAATATTGACAATGCTAGCACATTAGTATCATAGACTGTAATTTGTTAAGACATGTCCACATGAGGGGCACTCTGCAAAAACCACAGTTAAGTCACTGGGGGATGTGGAATAAGAAGAGTAATGGCGGCTACAACAATGATCAAAGGCAGAGTAACTCTCCAAGATTTCAGGAAGGAGCTCTGATGAAAGCAGCAGGAAGTCAGGAGCCCTGTAATGAAATTAGGAAGGAAAGGTGCTCGTCTCTCCATTGCTCTTGTGGCATTGTGTTTACTCTTTACTGGGCATGTGGAGAGGTACACATTGGGTAAAAGAATGGGAAAAACACAGACTATGTTTTATTAGCAAGCAACTTACATTCTTCATTTGTCACCATAATCCTTTAATGACCAAAGACTCTATTATCTCAAACTGGTAACTCTCTTAAAATTTCATTGTACATTATTTGTAACTTGTCATAGATTTAAGTGCCCTTCCTTTGGGTCACTTTCACTTTTTATTCTAAAGACTTCCTCAGTTAAGGACTTTCTATTTCTCATAGTTAATGAAACATAAAAAGAAGGCTTGTTTTTATAACTAAGGTTTCAAACCAGAAAATTCATTAAAGATTTGATCTAAAACAAATTAATATCTGACTGTACAAGTACTAAAACAATGCGGGTAAATGCTTTTATATAGATAATCTACCAATGCTCTATTTTTTGAAACCATATTTAACTCCTATCCCTTTGAAGAAAGCAAAATGGCATATGTGTGAGAAAATTCCTAAGGAAGCCCAATAAATTATACCCTAATTTTAGAAATTAATAAAATATAAATCTAGATTTAGAATTAATTTAACCAACAGAATATACAGTTTACCCTTTGGAATCTCTTTGTTTATTAAGACTTTATGTCTTCAAATGAGAAAAAGGTAGTGATAGCTTTAGGGAAGAAAATAATTTAGAATTTAACATCTAATTGATTTATAATTACACTATTCATATTGGTGTTGGTTTAAAAAGATGGGTTAGGAAACAAAGACAAAAATTATGAATAAATTAGATATACAAATTTACTTAATGACCTACTTTGTTAATGACTTCTAAGTGACACTAAATTATTTTACCCAATATTTTATTTTTATTTTAGTGAAAACAATGTAATTTTAACATAGTATAGATGATTGGTTTTCAATTATCAAAGTAAAATATTTATATTAGACTTCAAATGCAATAATTATATCTTTAAAACCTATAATATATATATAGACAGAAAATGTAGTGATATAAAAAGAGACAGTCACAATCATGGTAAATTACAATAATAAAGTTTTTCACCATATACATTAAAATAAACTATTTCTTGTTTTATTCCTTATAGAATTACTTCAAAAAGAATTTAGACTAAAAGGAATTTTGTGATATTAGATCAATAATAAGAAAATAAAATCTAGCATAAAAAGATATTTTTCTCTAATTCTCTAAGGCAGATGTTTTAAAGGAGGATAAGATATCAAAGCCTGTTTTGAAGTTTAACCAAAAGTAATTTTAGTAGTCTTGCAACTTTGAAGGACAGGGTTGGAGAACATTTATGTAGCCCAGCAATTAAAAAACTATAGTGGTTTAGAAATGCAAGCTTCCACCAAAAGTAAGTAGTATTTTATGTAGAAACAAGCAGATATAGTCTTACTCAAAGAGGTAAAAGTGATTCTGCTGTGTCATCAAAAGAGATTATTTCCTGTTTTTGGAAAGTGCTAGAATCTCTCTGACAGGAGAGAGCTTTCCAGAATGAGACAATCGTTGAATCCAATCAGGAGCAAGGAGAACCATATGGCTGCTGTATATCTTTTCTTTTCATAGAAAGCATCCTCCTTAATGCATAGGAAAATGTGTCTGTAGCTCCTGGCACATTAGAGAAATGAACTCAAGAATTTACACTGCCAGTAGGACTCTTAGCAGATGTTGCCTCATTTGTTAAGTTGATAGCTTGTTTGCTTACACCTCCTCACGCACTTGATATTTTCACAGGGAATTTCGAGAGTTTGAAAATGGCTCCATCTGTGTTGAGTGTGACTCCCAGTGTGAGAAGATGGAAGATGGACTACTCACATGCCATGGACCGGTAAGCCTAAAAGTGTTAATGGGTGTGTTGGCTTCTTTGGTATTATGTATACAAATGTTTTGTCATTGCTATGGGTCTATCTATCTTTTAAATTGGTATTTATAGGATACTGAGGGAAACGTGTTTAATATTTCAATCTAGAAATATACAGTTTAGCAGGAATGATAAAATATTAGGAAACTGAATATCATATAAATATTTATTCCCATAATATTGTGTTAGAACAGAAGAATAAGTATATAGAGTTGTTTTGGGACATGACATACTGTTGAAAGAGAGATATACAAGTGATCTACTTAAATGATAATAACTGAACTAATGAAAATCTGTATAGCTGGTTTTAAAAAGCACAGATGAATAAGAAAATAAGATTATAGAAGTTCATGTTGCTTTGTGAAAAGTTCAGCACTGTTATTCAATGTCTCAGATGGCAGAATGGAGCATACAAGGAGGAGCTAAGTGAGCTCCCTAAGCTAGGACCTAAAGCAATAGCCTTGATGCTGTATTAGAGAGAAGGATCCAACAAGTAGAAGTCCATTATGAAAGCCTTAAGGACCGAGAAGTTTTCTCCACAATTCAAAGCTCTATTAGGGAGAACATTGCTCTGAGTCTCAGGAAACACCCCCTCTCCCTTGTTTTCCAGCACTTGGTTTTCTCTGAGCAATGAAATCAGTCTGTACTTGTCATTAAAAAGTGATGCATTCATCCTTCTTCAGACAAATATTTCGTTCTTCCATTACTGAGTCATCTCTTAGTATTAGCTTGGGGATCAATATTTGGGTATAAGCAAGAATGAAATCTAGTTTCATAAAAATGTATTTAAGAATCTAAAGAGCATACGTTTTCTATGCATGCACTTACTCAGCCTTTAACTAACTTATAAAAAAAATCATTGAGTCCTCCAGTCTTACATCAGGCCTCAGTGAGCCACTCTGGAACCTTCTCTAAAAGATATGGAAAACCCATGCATTCCAAGCACTGCCACAAGATCAATAAACATGTGAAAAGGCAGACCTGTGAGAAACAGAAATGCAGTTATGTGACATAGAGAATGAGAGTATAAAGGACAAATTACTGTTCCTTAGCCTCTAAGAAAGTATACCCAAGGTCATTAGTAGTCAGTGTGTTTCTCCACTGAGAAAAGTCATGAAAACACAGCTGGCGTCCTACATGAGACTTGCAGATTCCATAAAAAAATAGTCCATTACAAAAGAAAGGAAGAAGTTTCCCTAGTCTGTTGGTAAAACCAGTTGAGGTGTCTGCATGGGTTCCTTAAGGCTTGTGCATTTAGGTGACTCTTTGGCAATAGTCATTGAATGAAAACAAGGTTACTTTTAGAGTTTGAAAGCTTGAAAATAAATGATTACAATAACCCATATATTGCTATTTCAATTGATAAGTCCGGAAGCATCGGATGTCTCTAGACCTAGTCAATGCATACTAAACACAGGCTTAGGGAAATACTACTTAAGAAAGTGACTCACCAGGTTGACCATGTGCACACTGTTTAGTCTGTTGATTTTTGCAGGTGCTCCTGCACCACTGCTTCCTGGAAATCCCCTGCAACTTTCTGTGACTTAATATTTTCTTGACATGTATAATTTCCTGTTCCTTTCCATTCCCGCTCTTATTCTGAACAACCTCAAAGAAGCATTCTTACTTTGTTCAGTGTGTGATGTTGTTTTAATTCTTGCTTTGCATCAAGCTCCATTGCTGGGTTTTGCATGTTAACACTCGTTCAAAAATATTTTTCAAAGAAGTCATTAGAGATGAATTTCATATTAGTCTTCTCTCAATGATTTTGTGTTTTGTATCTTGAAACTCACTTGTTTTAATATTTCAAACTTTCTCGAAGTTTTCATATTTCAAAATAACCAAATGTTACTGATTAGTAGTATTTCCAGTATAATTAATCCTACTAGTAAGAAATTAATTTGCTTAGGTGAAGTCTAAGTAATTATTCAATACACCATATTTTGCAAGAATAATTTCATAGGAGATATTTGTTTTAAAACGTTTGATGTTACAGGCTGGAAAGATGGCTCAGTGGTTAGGAGCATTGGTTGCTCTTCCAGAGGATCCAGATTTAATTCCCAGCATGCACATAGCAGCTCACAACTCTGTGTAACTCCAGTTCCAGGGGGCTCTGATGCTCTTATATAGACTTACATGCAGACAAAACACAAATGCCCATAAAAAGAAGAAAAAAATCATGTTTCATGCATAAGATATCAACATATGTCCTTCATTCCTCTAATTGTATTAAACTAGTTTTCAAATGTGAAAAAATTTCAATGATCATGTTATTTACTAATCAAAAATGAGAATTACAAAGCTCACTGTATCATTGTTATAGCTGGGTGGGACTTAACAGAAATCAAACACACTTTGAAACATCTGTACTGCCTTTCCCCATATATTGTCTTCTAGGTGTTTTTCTCCATTCTACCAATGAAAAAATAATCCTGAAATTGCTAATGAATTTCTTATTATCATGAGCAGAATTAAAATCCCACTCTGCATGTTTAGAGCTCAGAGCACTTGACCATCTCTCCGTGTGCTTCTGCTTATCTGCCTTCTGCTACACAAACTTATATTAATGGATAGCCTGGTTATTAATTTCTTTTGATGTATATATTTGTGTAGTTTCTTACTTACATGTTCTCCAAAGGAATGGAGACAAATTACTTTTAAAAGATTTAGACAACTTTATAAAAATTAAAAGTCTGTGATGACACTCCCTGAACATGTATGAGAACCAGAGTCCCAATACCAACCAATTAACGGTCTTGATTTTCTTCAAAATTATTTGATATGAAAAGTAGATAGAGTAATATTTTTGTTCCATCATGGTAGCACTTATGGGACCATGTGACTAAGGTCACTCTGCAGCATGAAAATAGAGACTTGATATGTCAAGAGAACAAAGTCAAAACACTAGAAAGTTACAGGGGCAAGGAATATAAAAAAAATGAAATGAAGGTGGAAGAGACAGGGAGGGAGGAAAGAGAGAAAGAAGAGGTTTTTATTTGTGTGTGTGTGTGTGTGTGTGTGTGTGTGTGTGTGTGTGTGTGTGTGTATTTTACATCATAGGGTTGTCAAAGTTTCCATTGTGGTAAAAATTCATAACGACTAATGTTTATCAAATATTGTTAAATCTGAGAAACACTATGACATTCCTCATTTAAAGTATAAATAAATTTAACCATAATGATCAGGGAGTTACTTCAAAAGTCAATGAGATGTGAAAATTCAACTCCATTGTGGAAGTTATGATTCCAAATTTTTCCTTCCAATCATAGCAGTTTTTCTTCCAGACAGCAGTATCTTCAGTGTTATACAAGTAAAATGCTTGCTAAGAACATGGTAACTGTGTAGTAAATGGGATGATGTTATCCTACACAAATATAGTAGAAATCCTTGGTCTCTTCAGCAGAGTAGTCTTGACATGCAGGAAAGCCTTTGTTTCATATACTGGTCTGCCTGCACTTGGTCTTGTTTGTTTAATTTATATATTATATATGTAATTATAGTTATTGTCCCCACTTTCATTTCCCTGAATGGACCCAACGAGAGAGGTAAGGGAAGAACCGTGGAAAGGGGAGGAAGGAATGTGAATCAAACAGTTACAGGAGGTCAACAGAGAGGATGAAGAGGCAGCAATCGAAGAAAAGGAATTGGATGAGGAAAATGAGCTTTCAAACACGTTTTACAAAATATAAAGTAGCTGTTAGGATGGTTCATCAAAGTTGTGCTCTAAATATTAATTCTATCCTTTGGTTGCTCTCAGAAAAAATATATTTAATTCCTTTTATGTACGGTACTCTGAAAGTCTTGGAAATATTCACAAGGAGCTATCTCCCTATTATGATTCATAAGCTCTGAATTCGAAGCATCTCCACTTCTCCATGAAGCATTCGGTAGTGGTAGCATGGAGAGAGAAGGCTGGAGAGTTCAGCCCTCCCCCTCTTATGTATGGCTTCTACTTCCATTTCATTATTCAAAGTAAGCTTTATCTTACCTTCACTGACAGGTGAATGGCAGTCTCCCCACAGGGATGAAAGAACATTATTGTATCATGGTAAATAAGTAGCTTTGTTCTCGGGAGGAGCTACCTAGGAAAATCAACTGCCACTGAGAAAAAAAAAATAACATAATGCACACATCAGGATTTAGTCTGTCACGTTGTTGCCTGTCTAGATTATTGGGTCCAGAGGCAGTTTAGAACCAAGGAGAAGAAAGAATGCATCCTTCATTCCCACAACTTTATCACTCACTGCACCTACACTTTTAAAAGCCTTGGAGATAGCACAATACAAGAGTGAGCATTAGATGCTTTTCTTTTCATTATGAAAATAAAATAGGAGCCAGTGCTTCACCTACTTAGAGATTTGTTAGAATGTCTTTAACTATGTCAGTTTTGTATCACAGTGAAACAAATAGGCACAATATAACTGGGTATATTAGAATATACTTAGCTATTAACTTATATTAGTTTGTGACATTTTTATATCTTAAGATTTTTACCTGGATACTATTTTACATTACAAGAATTTAATAGAAAAAGAAGGCCTAATCCAGATTCTGCTTAATTTACTTATAGTAAGCTTTATTCTGTGTTCTACAAAAAGCACGTCTCTTGTCTTATAGAGTAAGTCATGCCACTGAGCATACTTGCACAGTAAATGATTGCGTATAATAGATAGTGATACGTGCCTAAGTACCCATGAGCAGGTGCTAAAATTGGAAGCATGTGAACTATTCTTATTTGAGAGGAAATGAGAAGTTACCATTAGCAATACTTTAGGTAGAATGGGGATTAGGTTTCATATGTTAATTTAAATTATTTTATTTTATTTTAGCTCTGAGCTTCACATCAAAATAATGGAATAAATAGCTTCTTGATCTAAGCTCACTGGTTTCTTTATGATTACTTTTTCTTCTTTACATTGCTACTTTTCATTAGATACTTCAATCTTTATCTTTTGCCTTGTGTTACTTTATATTACCAACTTATAATATCTAACTGGTTTGAGGTTGTCATTTCTATATAGTTAAAATCACCCCCATGAATAAACATAACTACACAGTCATCCCTTAATTAACAGTTCAACATAATGTGCACCTACCTGGTTCCAAATTCACAATATTTGCAAGTAAGAACTTGGTTTAATTGTATCTTTGAATACTTACTATATCCCACTTATCTAAGCTATCTTCAGGTGTCCTGTAATAATTGTTCAGGTTTCCAGACATAGGCAAATAACAGGAAGAATAGATCAGAAGGCAAACATATTCCAAACAAGTGGTCAAAGGAATATTATTGTCATAGAACTCTAAGCAAAGAGAGAGCCTAAGAAGGAGGGATAACAATATCAATTAAAACATAATCGAAATAGCAGAATATGCAAAGATTAAGGCCCTTCTTAAGAAAAGTAGTATTTTAATCAAAATGTTCTCAACTTTCTTCAATCTCAAAATATACTACTTGTTTCTTGTATGCGTAATGTCAGGAGAGTAACATTCTTAGATGTTAAAACTAATATTAAAATGTTAATTTTGAGACTGGGCATAATGATGCATTGCTATAAGCCAACATTCTGGAGGCTGATGTGTGAGAATTATGGGTTTGAGAATACCATGGGCCTCACCAGGAAACACTGTCTTTTTTTTTTTTTTTTTTTTTTGGTTTTTAGAGACAGGGTTTCTCTGTGTAGCTTTGCACCTTTCCAGGAACTCGCTTTGGAGACCAGGCTGGCCTCCAACTCACAGAGATCTGCCTGGTTCTGCCTCGCAAGTGCTGGGATTAAAGGCATGTGCCCCCATCGCCCGGCAGAAACAATGTCTTAAAAATCAAAATAAATAATACAAATAAGTACATATTGCTTTTATTATTGCTTTTATATTATTGTTGCATATCAATTTTCTCCTTATTAAATCTATTTATTAAATTAAATAAGTATTAATCTACTTATTAAAAATTAAATACTTATTAAAATCATTATATAAATTATCAATGAAAATATGTCAAGTGGGTTCACTATATTTTAATTAATAATGTTCGTTTTACTGTCATCATTGGATAAGTTTCTCCATATAGCTTTTTTTAATTTTAAAATTCTTATTATATATAATTTTTAATATTTGCTTTTCAGAATGTACATTTTATGGCTCTAAAGATTGTCCTGTGGTTGGCAAAACTCCATATAAGTGTATATCATTTCCTTTTGAGCATCAGCATAAGATGATCAGCAAAAAATAACCAAGGAATTTTTTATGTGTCTAGGATGCCTACTACCTGATAATTCAATTCGTAGTGCACTTTAAAGTTTATTTTTCAAATAGTCATTAGGAAAGACTGTTAACCCAGGAAGAGCAGTGTATTCTGATTTCCATCATGCATTGTTTCTCATTAACTATTTTGTAGATGTATGTATTTCCAGTAATGGTATAATAAAACATACATGTGGAAAATTTATTATAAACACGTACTGTTACTCTATACTACCATTAGGAACTAACCACAAGACGAAAATGTTGATACCCTTTTCAAAAAGCCATTGGGGAATATTAGTTCAAATTAAGTCACATTAGAGAAATGACATGAAGAAGAGATGGACTGAGAACAGCTGATTTCAAAAGCAGGGTGTGTCTAGAAGATACTTGCGAGTATGGTGATAGTATGATGACTCAAATACAACACAGCAAAGAAGACCTTTAAGGCTCCCTTACTGCTGTTCATGCTACAATAGCCACATCCATGTTATTATTGGTGGACAGATGGACATGTTCTCTCCCTACAGGAAGATTTATTTGTCATTCACAAAATCCTAAGAAACTAAACCACACAAATGCCTTTCCGAGGGAATTGAACCCATTTCTCTTTCTCCAGATGTTTTCCTTTTTCATATTTCAGGGACCAGACAACTGCACAAAGTGTTCTCATTTTAAGGATGGTCCAAACTGTGTGGAGAAATGTCCCGATGGCCTACAGGGAGCAAACAGTTTCATCTTCAAGTATGCAGATCAGGATCGAGAATGCCACCCATGCCATCCAAACTGCACCCAAGGGTAAGCATCCTTGTTGTTCAAGGACTAAACGGTGGACATGTTTCCAGCTGAAAAGATGAACACAGTTATCAATATTCTGATGATGTCTACTTACATTAAAATAGTCTCAGTAAATGCTATTTATCTTTTTAATTTAGGTGGTGATTTTAAATGAAATTCTTTCTAGGTGAACTACTGAAATATCTCCAATTATCATTTACCTATAACCTCCTTATTAACTCCTTCATGAAGCTAGTGTGCTTTGGATGCAGTCTAAAAATCATGCAGTCTTATAATAGATTTAGTATATAGAAGAGACAATATAGTACTTGTATTATAGAGATTTTTTTTTTTTTTTGGTTTTTCGAGACAGGGTTTTTCTGTGTAGCTTTGCACCTTTCCTGGGACTCACTTGGTAGCCCAGGCTGGCCTCGAACTCACAGAGATCAGCCTGGCTCTGCCTCCCAAGTGCTGGGATTAAAGGCGTGCGCCACCACCGCCCAGCGAGATTTTTTATATTAAATGTATAGTTTCTATTTCTTCCTGTCAAAACTTAAAATGAAAATATCTCTTTAAAAATTCCTGCTTTGGATTAGTCCTTCAATGAAATCTGATTCTAGGCAACCATGGCAAAGAAAAAAAAAAAGAATAACCTGCTCATATGTGTGCTCACAACATAACTAATATAGTGGTGTGAGTTGTTTTATTGTAGTTTTCCTATAACATAGAGTTCTCTGACTGTCATGAAACCATTCAAAAAGATATATACCTATTTTCCATTCAAGAGGATATGTTGTGCAGCATAACCTATGATATTGGTAACAGTTGGATAAACACAAATCAGGGGGATTGCTTTGTTCAGTGTTATGGCCATTGATGGAGACATTAGAGAAAGAACACTGTGTATGAAAGGAAATAATGTCTCCTCTAACAAATTCCAATCTATTTCTTAAGACAAATTTATCTTATCTCAGTAATAATGTTCCCCTTGTTTTTTCTAAAAGTTAAGTTTGGTTAGAATTGAGAGCAGTTTAACACACTCCATCCTCTCACCATAAAACCTCACCTCCATTGTGAGTTCTATCCGTCAGTGTAGGAACAGAATGCACACACGTGTGCACACACATGTTGAGAAGTTATCTTGGGTGCTTAATATCTGGCAGGAAAGTAGAGGTTCTGTGAAAAGATTGTCCTGCCAGTTTAAGGCCTAGCTGTTAAAAGATGTTGAAAAAGTGAAGCGAGCAACATTATTTTCTGTGAAGAAAACATCAATTTTGGGATGCTGCTATAAATTCCTACAGGACATGAAATCACAGTCACTCTGTGAAGTGGCAGATCCTTAGAAGGCAAAGCAATATTCTGCCACACAGATTCAAATGCAGTGGAGAAGAGCTGCTTGCCAACTCCTTAGTGTCTACATAAGCACACAGGTTGAGGGCACTGAGAGAGTCACCTACACAATTTGCTTCAAGGAAATCAGAAGTAATAAACAATTCCCCTTGTGAGTGTTGGCACACTTGAGTTGAGACTATTTAAAAAAAAAAAAAAAAAAAAAAAAAAAAAAAAAAAAAAAAAAAAAACTTCTGGTGCTGCTGGAGCAGAAGAGTCAGCAAGAGTAAGAGAAAAACTTTGCCTGCGAAAATCATCCACAAGAGGGTTTCATTGTTTTGCAACTAAAATTAAACCAGTAAATTATTCAATATAATGTTGATGTCAACAGCTGTTGCCATTCAAAATGAGACCTTTTGCTGTTTTTGCAAATCTAATTACAACGAAACCATTAGGGAAATGAAAGTGAGACACAGAGCCTAGTCTGGATGTGTGGCTGGAGTGTCTTACTTGTCAGCCTTTTAAAATCATGGCTGTGTGATAAAGGAAAGCATATATCGTAGAGGGAGGCAGGAGTGAGGCCAATGGGAAGGGTTCAATGACTGTAGCAACAGAACTGGGATCTCCTACAAAAGGGAAGCTGAGGTTTAATGGGGAACTCTAAATAAATAGAAAGATACTCTCAACAGCTCCTGGCTACAGAATAACAGTGAAACAGAAGATGGTGTATTACATAGCACCTTCCATGGTAATATGTCTCCAAGGATGACCTTGCTCTGAGGTCTTATTGTTGCTTTCCCTGAGCTTGCCCTTCCTCATAACTTCCATATTGACTTTCACTGGCTTCAGGAAAGTGTTGTTGATTCCAGCTCCTGAGGAGAATTCAGGAATTCTTACATTGTATGAACTAGACCACAGCATACCCACTGTGCCTTTGGCATCTTGTACTGAATGAAGAAAAGAGGTGTCCTGGGAAGCTCATCTCCTCTTTTGAAATTGAGTATAAGCACATAGAGCTATGATCCAGTGACAGATCACAGAACAGAGGGAATGCTGGGATGAATGATTCATTTTTTATTCGTCAGTTCATCTATTAGCTTACCATATGAGTAAGTGTGAGCTCTCACCAGGCCACTTCAAATTCTGGAAGCAAATTCCCTTCTACATGTCAGTGTTTATCAGGTCGTTCAATAACCAAGCTAATGGAACTATTCCTTCCAATTACATCTTTTTAAGAAATAAGATCTTAGTTTGAATAAGTTTAATGATTTTCCTGAAAATAAAATTATCTAATACCTTAAATGTATTTTTACTACTCTAAAAGTACATTAAATAAATTGACTCTAAAAGTTATTCAAGTAATTTTTTGAAAGATATACCATTTAGTCCTGATTAGAAAACTCACCAGTATCCTTAGTAGATAGAAAAAAAAAGGAAGAAAGGAAGGAAGGAAGGAAGAAAGGAAGGAAGGAAGGGAAAAAATATTGTCTTCTCTTGCCTTGAATAGGGGCCATATTTTGTCAACATGTTATCTTAATCATTCTTGAGCCTCCTCTGTGGGATGCATGCTAATCAAGTTGTCTTCTTTCAGTTGCTGTTGCAAATACCATCCCCAAAAGCAAGGAGGAGTAGAAAAGAGTCTATTTCAGGTTACACTTCCAGGTCACAGTCCATCATTGAGGGACATAAGAGCAGAAATTCAAGCTGGAATTTAAAACAAAGAGAATGGAGGACCACTGCTAGCAGAATGGTCAAAAGATCTTTGCTTAATTAGCTTTCTTATACAGTCCAGGACCACCTGCCTAGGCTTGGTGTCACCCACAAAGAGATGAGTCCCTTTGCATGCATTAACAATCAAGATAATTCCCGTTTGATATACCCACAGGCTAATGCTATCTAGGTAATCCTCCATCAAGACTTTCCTCTCAGATGATTCTAGTCTGTGTCGAGTTGACAATTAAAGCTACCTAAGAGATCGGCTTTTTATCATAAGTCATGTTTATAATTAAGACACAGCCATTGACCTGTAAGACTCACATTTATGCTGTTGAAATGATAGTTAAGAGTTTGAACAAAATAATAATAAAAGAAATTTAAAAATTAAAGTTTGGTCATGTTGACACACACCTTAAATCCCAATGCTTAAGGAGCAGAAGTAAAAATTTTTGTAAATCTGAGGCCAACCTGTCCTACATATGAGTAATTATACAAGCCAGGGCTCCACAGTAACACCCTGTCTCAAAACAAAAAAAGAACAAAACAAAACAAAGAATGAATTTGAAGTGCAATAATAATTATTTATATTTATAATTGGTAGTATCTGTGGTTTAAAGAGAATTTATTAACTAAATGTATTCCATAGTGCACAATGAGTACTTTGTTCTCTACAGTGACATTGCTTACTTTGTGATAATTTAACATCTACTTCATTTCCTTTTAGTTTAATCCAAATTTGCATTGTAGACATGGATTGCAAAGCTCATTTCATTGAATGTTGTTTTTAAAACCTCACTTAAAGTTTTATTGACATGTACCTTAGTCTCTTTTATTAATTCATTTTTTTCTAATTTTCAAGTTTACATAATGAAAAATATCCATTGATACAATGATAGATAGAAAATCTGCTTGTAGAACTAAGTCTGTAGCTTTTATATTGATAAAATTAAAAATATTCTTCATTTTCATTTCAAAAATTGGAGATTTTTCACAAATGTCTGAATTATGCGTGTCATGTAGGTGTGTCAAGGCACTTATGTATCATGAACAGTTATAAGTCAAACATGTCTCACTATCCAGAATTCTAGAGATATTTTTTGAGTGTGTATAAATGTTACTAATTTCTGCTATTTTTAGAAATATTGTACTTTGGTATACTAATTTTTAAATGGTTTTATTCCTGGTCCTATTTTTGGCCCTTTGCTATTTTTTGTGCTTGAAAATTGGATGTTTCTTATCCTGTGATCTTGCTTAATCAATATAAGTTTTATATTTTGAGTAGCTGCATATATATAACCTATGAAGAACCTAAAATACATGGTATTTTTAAATACATGAGGATTTATACTTTGAAAAAGCATCCCCACATTTATTAACCCACATCCTTCTTGATCTTCATTGGTTTCTATAACCCTCATTTTAGAAACACATTTGAATCTCAAATATCCTATGTAATATCCTCAACAACTTTTCTTGACCCATGTTGATGTTCTATCATTTCTGCTTGAATCCATTGTCCTATCTGCAATGTGCTTCTCGATTTACATCAACATAAATCTAAAGACTTTGGCGTAGACCCAATTGTTTTTAAAGTTCTAATTTTACTGCTTCTCCCTGAATTTGAGTCTGTTGGCCTATCTCTAGATTTATTTTTCTAGTTAGTTTTTTTAATTTCTTTACAGTAACAATGCATACTTTTCATATTTGTTTTATTTATATACATATATGTATGTATATGAGTTTGTATGAGTTTTAGTGCCCATATGCACCCAGAGGCAAGAAGATTGGCAGATTCCCTTAGAGCTGGAGTTGTATCCATCCATTTGCAGGACACCCAGATTGTTCTATAGGTTCTGGAGTCCAACCCCCAGTCTTCATGAGTGTGGAGCATGTGCCTTTACCTGTTGAGGTATCTGTCCAGCCCAATTTTATTCAATTATACTTTCCCATGCTTTAGATACAAAAGACTGTCTTATGGCCTTCCATTATAGGTCTTTGAGTTTACTTTTTGGCATTGGATTTTTTTTTCATGTCCTCTGTTCTTCAGCCATCTTTCCACTATCATCATTTCAACTCTTTCTAGTGTTCTGTTTCAAAAGTGTTTCTCACTACCACCATAGCTCAAAACTTTCTTTCGCACTTGTTGAGGAAAATTGCTAACTACCCATGCAAAAAACAGTAAATTCTAGATAGAAAGCAAAAAAATGCAAGTATCACTTTCTCCTCCTAAAATACATATATGAGGAAACATGTCCAACCTTTGGATTTTTCATTGCTGGGACAACTCTCCTCAAATATAAATTATAGGACATACATCATTTGATCTTTTTTCACTTAGAATTATAACTGTATCTGTCACCTCCTCTCCTCCCAAACTCATTACTTTACTGGCATTTATTGAAACTGCATTTGTCTGTAAGCTAGTAACTTTACTATTACTTTGTTCCATTGTTTCTGACATGGACTTACTGTTCTCCATGCCAAAATAGCCTAACTGGCTCCCATATAACTAGTCTTCACATTACAAAGAGATTTCAGATACAAATCTAGCAATGTAGTGGCTTCCTTTGGCTATCAATCTTTCTTGGTTTTTCAGGGTAGCCTTTCAAAATTTAATGTTTTGGCTTTTCACATAAGTATATACTGTACACGGAGCAATCTGTCCTTATTCCTCTATTCTCTTTTTTCTCGCTTCTCACCCTGTTAATCCTCTTTGTTCTCCTAGGCTTCACTTTTTTCATGTCATGTATTTGTATATAATTTTATATTGGTGTTTAAGGTCTAGGAAACACAAATGAGAGAAAATTACAATATTTGTTTTTTTCTGAGGTTGGCTTAATTGTTTCATAAATTGATCACCAGTTGCACAGATTTTCCTGCAAATTGTATAACTTTGTTCCCTGTGATTGAAAAATGCTCTCATTGTGTATATTTACCACATTTTTCATTCAGACAAGCATAGTTTTTTTTCAAACTACACAGTGACTTTCCATTATCTACTAAGTTAAAGCCTACCACATCTGGCTCCTAAAGTTCTTCCATCCTCTTTTTTTTTCTCTTTGTGCCTGTCATCATTCTCTCTGTCTACTTAGAAATATTGTTCAGAGTATGTCATGCTTTTGAGGTATGCTTTTGCTACAATTCTGTACTCCCTAACAACCACGGTTGCCCCAGCCATGGCTCTCAACATCTCAAGCTACAGATCACTGACTTTCTCCCAGAATGGTGACCATTGCCTTTTAAAGCGGGACATGCTGGTGTCCCTTCTCCATATTATGCATACAGAGCTCTACCATACATGTGTCCTCATACATTTCTCATGTGCAAACACTGAGCTCAATGAAAATAAGTAAAAAAGCATCTAATTCATCTCATTCACTCCTGCAGCTCCTTGAAGGTTACAAGCATTTTAGTAGACTCATCACATGGGCTTATTGAAGGAATGAAGATATTTCATTATTCACACTCTCTCCTCAAACAGAATTTTAATATTGAATGTTTTTATCTTTCAAGGGTCATTATAAAGATTACAGGCAAACTACAGCTTTTCAGACTCTCTCTTGCAAAGTAAGCAGTAAGACTTAATTTTACAAAATGGCAGTACTGTCATAAATATAACATTTTGAAGGGAATATAACAGGAACACAATAAAAAAACAGCCCTTTAGAACAAAATAAAAGAAAATCATATGAGACTATTGTAGGGATTTAATTTCCAATTAAAAATTGTTCTGATTAGATCTAATGTATGGAACCAAGTCAATAGTGTATGCCTTAACTGTCTCTTATCTTATCTCTTTATTTCAGAGAACTACATCACATTTTCTCAGACCAAAATTTACTTTTGCTGCTCAAATCTGATCCTCAAAAAAAAATTACAGTGAACTGATTTTCTACATAGTAGTAATGTTTCAGCAGATATGAATGAGCAGAGAGATGGTGACTTAAGTTATCAGATGAGTTCTATTAATTACTAGCATCTGGAGTCACTTACAGAAGCTGCTCATGGTCTGTCCACATCAGTAAATACCTAAAGCTCCCTTTCCAGTTTTTAAAACTCAGAGTTTAGAAAAACATGTATACTCCCTATTACCACCCAAATTAATCACTCCTATAAATCATACCCCTAGAAGCTGTTTATCTTTGAGGAGACGATGAAGAGAAATAAGAAATTCAACTTAAACACATTGGAAAATAGAAGAACATTTTCCATACTGGCCCAAAATGAAATTCTAAGGACTGTATATTAGAATTCTGTGCATTTAAATACATTCACCAAATTTTCATCTTTGTAGATTCCTCAGCTACCTATGTGTGTTTTTTCATTTACTACAGAATATCTATTTGCTTTTGTTGGAGTTGAATATTGTGATATCATTTTAAAAGTTTATGTTTACAGGTCACGTTTTTGCTCTTTAAAAGCGGTCATCAAGATGTACTGCAATGAGGGCCAGAAAAGTTCAGTTGCTTTTTAAATAAATGCATGTTTAATGATAAATATTGAAGAGATTCATAACCAAGGATTGAAATAATCTGATTATGTAAAATATCCAAGGGGATTGCATTAAAATATATTAACTAATTTTCTGCCAAGTTTCATATTTAATGAACATCAAACATAAGGCTATTATATTACATTCAATTGTTCATTGCCTTTTTATTGATTTTTTTTGTATATTGCTTAAACTTAACGGTGGTTTAAGAGAAATGATGTACATGAAAACATCCATAGTCATTGAACTCTATGGTAATTAATCCAGCTGTGCGTAGTAATGAAAGATGCAAAAGGACTGAAGGTTTCAGAAATGACTGTTTATGAAAGTTATCCACAGAAGCAGGTAAAATTTCCATTGCTGTTTCCATGTTTCCTGGCTTTGTACCTGAGTGGTAATTTCAATTCACTTCTGTGTTCGAGTCAACAAATAACATTTCTCTTGGTCTCTAAAATTATGCTGCTCCTGAAGCTGCCAAATAATAAAATTAAGGATTTGGTACATTTAGTATTTATCTTGTTTTTTTTTTTTTAATGACTGATTTCTCTTTCCTTGTATCTCTTTGACATCTGAATCTCTGCAGGTGCATAGGCTCAAGTATTGAAGATTGCATCGGCCTGATGGATAGGTACTTGGTGTGCTTGCTTCTCATCTTCTTCCTCCGAGGCTCCATGCGTGAGCACTGGTGCATGTGTGTGCATGCCACTGTGACTGGAGAGTGATGGTTTCTGTTCTGTAATTGCTTGCAGGTGTAACGGTCCCACTAGTCATGACTGCATTTACTACCCATGGACGGGCCATTCCACTTTACCACAACATGCTAGGTAACATCAACCATGTTTCCATTTTATCACTCAAATTCTTTCCTTAGTTACCACCAGACAAATTACTAACCAATTGGACTGAAGTTTTAATACATTAAATGAGAGTTACAGCAGAACTGAGAACACTTTGCTTTTAAAATCAGTTCTTAATTTTACCTTCGTTTGTTATGATTTCAGAGTTTTAATTAGTAATGCCATGATTTTAAATTTTATACACTTAAAAAATTAGTAATTATCTTAGAACTTCAACAGAATATTCTTAAGTTTATACACAATTTCAAAACTCAAAGTTCATAAAGGAAAATTTTGAAAATGTTGATTGATACTTATAGAATGCTTTATTTAATTTGAATTTAATCTCTGATTTTGTGTTATTTTGAACTGACTGTTTCAGATGGAAAAATTATCGTAGAATCAATGCAATATGGAAAGTATTTTGTGCATGTTAAAGCATATATTGGCGTTATAAGAACAGAATATATTATTTATGTTCATACAAAATTCGGGACACAAATATTTACAGTAGCTTTAATCACAATCAACAAAACCTGGAAGCAACTTAGGCTATCCAGTTGTGATATATCCACGCATTGCAAAATGCCTGAGTAATAAAAAGGAAGAAATTGATGCTACACATACCATGGATGGATCCCAAATTCACTATGCTGAGTGAAAGAAGCCAGACTGTTAAAAATACATACTACATGGTTTCCTTTTTATATCAAACTCTGGAAAAGATGCAACTGCAGGGATAGAATATCAGTCAGAGTTGCCAAAAGCTAGAATTTCAGGGGTAAGGTTCACTATAGAAAAGTAAGAAGGAATTTTGCAGGTAATGGATCAATCTATACCTTTATTGTGGTATTAGTTGCACAAATAGAAAAACTTAATACAAACAATGAGCTATGTATTTTATTATAAATTATATAGATTTGTGGTTTATTGTTTATACATAAAGAAATATAATTGTCAAAATATTTTGTGAAACATTTTAATTAGAAAAGTAGTAATTTGCAACTTTACATAGAAATATTATTAGCTTTCTAAAACAAATTACTTTGATCTTTTTTGCAAGAAATACAGTAATGTTAAAGTAAAAACAAAATGACAGTTTTAGATTAAGTATTGCTTTTAATAAAGTTTTTTTTGTGTTGTCCTATGACAATGAAGCATTTGTAAGGTATAACCATCACATTAAAAAAATTCACAGTAGTGATAGATCCCTGTGGCTGCCTTTATCAGGACTAGCCATTATCCTGAATTCTAACAACTAAGTTTGTCCAGTCTAGTGTTTTCATCTTATCTAATTCACTCTTAATATGGTCTTGTTCCATGTATCTGGCTACTTTCACTAAATATTACATGTATGAGATTCATCTATGTCATTGGATCCATTCACAGCTTTTCCATTCATTTGCATTTAATTGCTTTTAAATTTTAAAGTGATTGAATAATTGATATGTCATTCTCATGCGTTGTTTGTTACTAAGTAAATAGTGATGACAAGTTCTAAAGTAAATTATGTGTTTAGAGCGGATTGGTTCATACAGCAGTGGCACATTGATACTTGGGCTTGAAAAACTGGTTAATATAGTTGCCTTGAGCTAACTTTAAACTATGAGAAAATTAAAAAAAAAAAAGGAAATTAGAAACAGTACATGAGAGTTAAGACCAAAATTCAAATACTGCCTTGGAGCTGAAAGTTTTCCTGTGTCCCACCTGGTCCTCAGCCGCTTAGACCCAAGTAAACACACAGAGGCTTATATTATTTATAAACGATATGGCCTATTGGCTCAGGCTACTCACTAGCTAGCACTTATATCTTAAACTAACCCATTTCTATAAATCTATACTTTGCCACATGGCTTGTGGCTTACCAGTACTTTTATATCTTGCTGCTCCTGGCAGTGGCTAGCAGTGTCCCCTCTGCTCTCCTTCCTCTTCCTGTCTGTTTGGATTTCTCACCTACCTCTAAGCTGCCTTGCTACAGGCCAAACAGCTTTATTTATCAACTGATCAGAGCAACACATACTCACAGCGTACAGAAAGACATCCACAACACTACTTTGTCCTCCAAGATCCATCTTGGATTCTTGCTATGTTCATGAAATGATTTTTCTTCTTTTAGACATTGATTGGGTCACTGAACTATCATTTTGAAGAATGATTTTGCATTTATTTTGATGATTTTACTTATAATGTATTTTAATATTTCATTGAGAAAGAATTCCATATGATGGTTAAAGTATGTTGTCTTTGAAATCAGATTTTCAGTTTTCAAATCAAGCTCTAACCATTTTTCAGATGTGTGACTTTAAGGTCCTTAAGTTATCTAAGGGTCACACTTTCACGTGCAAAGTGACAGCATTTATGTACTTCCTAAACTGATCTGAGGACTGCATGTTTACTTTATGACAGTGCCTTGATCATAGAAACCACCCATTTTTTCCCTGTATTTTTCTATATAACATTATCATTATATCATTATCTGTATAACCAGGATTTTCAAACTTCAGGAATGTGAAAACATACTTCTCAGGGGAAAAAGAAAGAAGCCTCTCAAAGACACTGGAAAGCATTGATGTGTACTGATGCCTTCCTGATGGCTTTATTGAGAGAAGGGGGTTATTTCTGTCACTGCACCTTGAAAATCAGGGAGATGACATTTGGTCATGGGGCTGAGATACAGAGTGACAATTCACTTGTACCTGTGAATGATTTAAATAGATGTTATGCAACCCAAAATCATAATGTATCTAATTATAGAGTTAATAATTTACTAATTTAAACAAAAACAGTTAAAATTTGAATCTCATCACATGCCTGGTTTTTCAGGAGATAGTCCATGATTTCAAACTAACACAAATAATTCTTAATGCCATCAGTAAATACACAAGGCTAGAAATAGTAAATAACAGTAAAATGCAGTCCATTATTTCTAAGAAGTCACCTGAAGCACCACTACTCAGGTAAAGAATGAGTTTCTTGAATGTGGAAGCATAGGTTCAAATATGGTTTACATCATATTTCTTATCCATGAATTTGGATGATAATGTAAAAGTAGTTTGAAGATTAAATGAGATAGCACATAGATAACATCCTGGACTAAACAATCAATGGCTGTGACTGAAATATTGATACCACATTGGAACAATTTTGACATATGCTGCCCTATTTGTATTTTATAATAAGCAGGACATGAGTCCAATAGATTAGTGAATACAGAATCAACATATTAAAATTTCTCAAATATTAATCATTTACTTTTTATATCCAGCTATTACTCAGGGCCATGATTTCAATAGGTGATTGGTAACTGGTAGTTAGTTATTTCTTATATAAAACTCCAGATGTCTCTACTTAATGGCTGTTTATTCTTAAGTTTAAAACAATATGACATTATTCCTCAATTGTGTTGACTTGTCAGAATTACATGACCTTTCAGGGGCTGCTCATGTGATAGATTAGAGTGTCCATAAACATTTATATTTAATTCTTTGGAGTATTTTGACTTACACTGGATGAAAACTTGGCCTAAGCAGATTCCCCGTCTGGTCCCATATTTCTATAATGGGATGACTGTGCCTTAGGAAAGCAGGATAACTAGCATTAAGATTTGAAGAATTTTTTCCCACCTTTTAAATTCCATGATAGATTTATAAATGTCTGTCTTGATTGAGTAAAGTAAATATTTCATAGAGGGAAGACTAGAAGTAGGACAATGGGAAATGAATATTTTAAGCTTCATAACCTACCTCTTAACTGGTAGATTATCCAAATACTTAGTTTTCTTTTAGTCACAGAAAATTACATTGAGCATACCAATGTAGTTCCTTCAAAATATTTAGAGGTAGTACTCCCCCCATGGCTCCATTGTTTCTGTTTCTGTGTTCTGTGCCCTAAATATGCAGGAAAAAGTGGATTGGAGATTTAAGTGAAAGCAGGTAAAAGGTTTCTGATCCTCATCAACTTTCATGATCAAAGTGGTGTTATTTTTTTTCAGAAACCTGCATTTTTTGAATTGGTGATTCACACCCCATTTTCCTACAGTCCATTTCTGGAATCTCTTCCAGGAAAATTGGTGAAATAGGGTAGAAAAGAATTTGAGACTCTCTGTATAGTAGAATATTCTACTTATAAGGAAAATAAACCAGTATTTTTTATTCTCTCTCTCATTTTCTAATCTAATTAATACCTGAAGATTACATTTACTTTGACCAACCTTTTCCCAAAATTTCCCACCTTTATTATTTTGGTTTCCTCCCAAGAACACCATGGACAACTGTGTTTTTCAAGACTATTTATTTGTGTGTATGTGGCGTTTGCCTTAGCTAACATACAGGCTACTTTCATATAAATTCTTTCCTGATATAAAAACATTAGATTTTAATCTATTTTGGATTTTTATATGAAAAACTGAAAGAACCTATCTCATATACCATGAGGGCATGAATTTGTCCATCACAGTAATAATTAACTCTGTTGTTGAGGCTTCTCGCCACGTTAGTTAACAAAGCCAAATATAAATTGACTAAAAATTCATTTGACTTTGTTGGATAAAAATATGAAAATAGATATAAAAATACATACTAGATTACCTATTCCTATATTATTTTCTGGCCCAGCTCTTTGTTCGAATTCATTTATTCTATATACTTCACAATATTTAGTACAATAACTGAACTTATTTTCTCTAAGTCTCTGATGTAGAGCTATTTGAAACATTTCCAGTTTCCATGGTCATAGTCACACTTTCATTTCATGGTAGAGTAGTTTTTGCCCAAGAGGTCACATAAAGCTTGTTGTTTGTCAAACTGACATGTATGTGATAGAGAAGAAAGGTAAGGTGTGATAGTGTGGGCCCCACTTGCATATGACACATTGAATTTCTTCTTTTCTCTCAAAGAAGCAAGTTCAGAATTTATGTTCAGATCACATAGTCCAAATCACTCATAAGTGGTTACCTTTGAAGAGTGGCATTTATATTATGATGCCTAAGT